TGTTGTGATCTCAGGGGAAAGATGGGCAGGATGAGGCTGTATCAGCTACACGTACGTAGCCTACTGAGGACCGGATGCCATTCCGATAGGTACTCAATTCTATGGACGACTATATCAACTATCTTGAGCGCTTCTTCATATCTACTAATGGGTAAAGCCTTCAGGGGCTGAAGTTGGTGATCCGGCCAAGCCACTAGGATCACGTGGTCTCGTATAGATTCATAACATTTATATAGCCTTTATTAGTAACTATAGTATAGTAATCGGGAATTACTTTATTATACCAGGCCTCCATAAATTTCTTTCCTTTAAAGATAAAGAGCGGAGTCATAATCCAGCTATCTATAGTAATATACTTAAGTGCAGTAATATTATCTGTATACTTAGCTTCAGGAAGATTAGAAACTCTTTCTTTTATACTGAGGACTTTTTAAGGCTTTTTACTGCCTGGTTAAAAGCCGCATTCATCAAAATTATATACAAGACAAGCAGGGACATTTTTAAGTAAGTTAGTAAGCTAATTATACTAGAACTAAAGCTGTCCAATATTCTCTATGTCTAAGCGCTTCTTCTTCTTTGGCCTTTGAATTACAGGACTTAATTTAAGGTCAGGAGGAAGGCTTTTAGTAAAGTAATATGTCTATAATTGGCTAACACTCTATATAGGATTATCTTACTGTATAGTAAGGTTTATCCACTCTAAAAGCAATGATATAGTCACCGGAAGATGGATATCATGTATCTTAACAATCTATTGCCTTAAGGCAGTCTCTTAATACTGATTTAGCGCTTTATTTGGTGCAGTTTGAGCTGTACAAGACTTTCTTCTATTATAGATACGGCCGTGGAGTGTGCGATAAGAAACCCCGAATTCTCGCGCAATCTTTGCGATATTAGGATTTTTTTCAAGACAGGCAGCTTCAATGGCCTCATCTACACGTAAACCTGAAATTTTAGACATTTTGGGCATTTTTTATGGTTTGTATAGCTTCAAAATGGTAGGAAATTGATTATCTTCCTTTAGGCTGAAAATTCCTTTAGGCTGCCGACCACCCACCGGCGGAAGGCGGTGGGTGGTCGGAACCGCCACTGATATACCGTTTTCAGGTCTGGTGATCTGATCAATCTGAATGCATCATTTGCATTCATCTTATCAGTTTCACCATACTGCATTCATCTTACTGCACCTGTCACAGAACAAGGACTACTGGCCAATGAATTGACGAAAAGCTGATGGTTATGTGACACTAGTGGGGAAACAATGACCCGAGCCTATGTCGCCAAGAGAAATATACATACTGGGTATGTTCGATATGCCCTAATAATATACTGAATATACAGGAGTTATATATACCCGTATGGGGGAAGATATACTGAGGTATACTTGGAATAGATATATAAGAATAGTCATTTCCTGTATTTAGTTTAATCTACTGTGTCTTACTGATAGAGCATAACCTAGCCTACCTTTTAATCTAAACACTCAGTTGGTATAAATATGAGATTATCCTGAAAAGTTAAGCTATCTTTCCGTGCTATTCCACCCAAAAAAGCCCGTAAAGTACAAAATACTTTATCCTCGAGCTCATCAACTACATCCCGGACAGACCACCGCCAGTTTACAAGCCCAGGCCCAAGCCTCGCAGAACAATTGCAAACATTGCGGGCAGAGAATGCGCTGCTACTTGAGCGGCTTGGACATGCAGAAGACCGCGCAAATGCAAGAGCATTACTAGACTTCGACACCCAAATAGAGATGCTCAGGTCGGCAATTGGGGATGCACAGATGGTCATACATGCACACCAGCGACTGGTCGAGAGTATGCTGTAGAGCGTAATACCCCCAGAAATGGAAGGTCAGCAACTTGGCATACCTAATATCTTATGGACGAGTCGATTCAGTCTCGTATGGACTCTTACCCGACCCTCTGACGTCCGTTTCTTCCGAAGGCTGCTGGCCAAAATGTTCTTCAGCTTCGCGTCGATCGATTGAGGAGTACTTAGTCTTAAACTGGCATGATGAGATCAGAGGGCAGTTCGAGGCAGTTGAGTCCAACAGAGTACTTCCAAGAACCGCGCGGATCGAAGGGAGCGATCCCGTATTACGCCAGCTTATCAGCAGTTGTATATCCTCCTCCATAGAGACACTGAACAAAATTATGATACGCTGATGCTTGAGCAGCTTAAGCTTGCGGAAAACCGCGTAAATGCGAAGGAATTACTAGACTTTAACGCGCGAACGGAGATGCGTATGTAAGTAATTCAGGATGCACAGATGGTCATACATACACACCAGCGACTTTGTCGCAGCGCCAAGCTTTCCTAGAAATGGAGGGTCAGAAACCTGCCCTCTCTAGGATGAGTCGAATTCAGCCTTGTTCAGTCTCTCACTGGGAGTCTTTGGCGTCAATTTCTTCGAAAGGCTGCCAGGCCGAACCGTTGTTAGATATGGCACACGCCTCATCGACTGCTATATCTCAGGAGTCAGCCTCTCATAGGGTACAATGCCCAAGAGTGGACCACAAGGACAGCCTTGTAACCGTGCGGTAACGTACATGATACTTGCATGCAAGATCATCATTAGGAATAGATACACATAGCTATAGACACACTGAGCTGGCATGTAATGATGTAAATACGTAAGCCATAGCCCGAATCCTCATCTAGTAAGCTGCAGAACAAAATACAAGTCCTAATTTAAGCGCTGGGCAAGTCTACTTTGCATGGATCAAGATGCCTCTAAAGAATCTGGATCTGAATGTAACGTTTTCTACGACTGCCTCTCTAGTCATTTACTCCTTAAGGGCGACTACGCTAACAGACAAGATTAATTTGGGAACATGCATTCTACAAAGTTACCGCCTCTCTTGGTTAACCACAACATACAGCATGCTTCACGATTTCACAATAAGGACATTAGAAGACTTGCGCCGCGCGTATCCAATCTGTCGTCCGCAAGCAGCAATGGGTCGCTTTTTCCATTGGTCGGAACGTATATTCAGTGGAAAATGCTGTTACTTTTCAAAGGAAAGCGCCCCTGGTGCAGGCTTGCATTAATTATCGGCTAGTGCAACTACAAGAACTGGGGGTTATTCTTCTATATGTAGTCCCGGTTGTGGCACTGAAAGTAACTGAAATTTGAGACTATCGATCACGGCGCTCTGGTTGTGCGATCCATAGTACAGGAGAAAAGCAATTCATCAACAGTGATGTAGTCAATTCTACCTCAGTCAAAACCATAGTGAAGAGGAGTTAAATCAGACACGCAGCCGCACAAATTATATGGCCATTTTTATTCGTTGCCATCGGCCTATTTTGCGGACCTAGCAAACACCTTTTCAAATGCATCTAACAGTAAAGGAATGTGCTCCTCCCGAAAGACCAGCATCGGCCGCAGCCGAATAGTGGACACACCGCAGCTTCCAATGCTGATTCCGACATTGCGCATCTCCTTTAGCAAGGGGCTGGCATTCGGAGTGTCAAAGGCAATGTATGTGCCCTTGCCTTTGCCTCGGAGATTGAAGACGAGCAAGCAGCGAGCCCCTCGTAGAAGATATCGCCGACACGCGCCTAGCATAAAGCATATTAAACATGCAATTGAGTTACATTAGCTTGAGGTAGCTCACAGTGTGCTCAACGAGATTCTTAGAGAGGATCTCATCAATAACGGCATTGGATATGATGACACGTGCGGTGTCGCCCACCCACCTACTCTTGTTAGCACCACTAGTGAGCTTGCTAGAGAAGAGAGGTGTTTTATATATAAACCCACGTATTAAACTGTTGATACGCCTTACCCGGCCGCAGCATCGCGTCACTAAAAAAGTATCCAGCCGTCTGCGCCTTCTTCGAGAAGGTCACGATATCCGGTGCCGCAGGGAGCTCCCAATGCTCATGGCCCCAAAATCTGCCTGTGGCATCGAAGCCCGTCTGCACCTCATCGCCAATTAAGTAGATCCCATGCTTCTTCGTGAGCGCCTGCAGTCCCTGAAAGAACGACCGGCGATGCATGGTTATCACCACCCTCACTCTGAATCGGCTGGACAATTACCCCGGCGACGGGGCAGTGCCAGGAGGCCAGGACGTGCTCGACCTCCGGTATCTTCGGAATCGCTCCTTTCGTTGCCTGGTACAGAGTTGGTTGAGCCCACGGTGGATGGCATTACCGGCGAAATCATGGTTGCGGTCGCACCTGAACTGTATGTTGCACATGCTGTTCAGATACGCACCGTAGGCTTTTTCCGTGTTGGGATGAGCTGCGAGCTTCTGAAGCTTCAATGGAAAGCAAGGGCTTACGGGGTGAGGCTGATCCCTCTGCCCTTTGAACAGCCGTCTCAACATCATCTTCGCCTTTTCACGATCGTGTCTGGTGGGCAATGTTTGACGCTGAGGGTGTTACTCTCTTATTATCTCCGGCTCTCCGGCCTGCCTGTCGATTGTTGTGGCGCATCACGAACGAGCTGAATCGCCAGCACACAGACGTGGCCGCCTCACATTGGGCGAAAGAAATCGAAACCCCTGCACCTGTACTGATTCCCCTCCTGGTCCCGCAAAATAAATCTTCAGCCTGCCCAGATTGGAAATCTACACTCAAAAAGACTACGAGATATGGAGGGCTTTACTAGCTATCATCTACAAGATATAACCTGCAAGGGACCTCAGGGCCACAAGAGACCCCCATACGCATCAATCGCGATTCTTGATCCGATCATCACGATCGAGAAGCGCCATGGAAAATACCATATCGCGGCCCGGTTCAACATCGAGACGGCGATCTTGGATTATGCCTCGCGCAACAGGTTCGTACGCTCCATCCACATGAACAAGCTTTTAGCTCCCTCCTTCAGACAAGCGTGTGCCCCAGTCAGCTAACAGTCGTCGGAAGCGACGGTCGCGAGCTCTTTTTCCAGGACATCTGTCTGCAGTACAGGAGTCCCTGGGACAATGAAAACCTCCTCATGAAGCCCGAGTCGGATCCCACTGCTGCTCTCACTGTCTCTCGGGGCTTCACCTCGTCCACGTCTGCGACGGTCGGCGCCACGGCGTCGCAGACGCCATCGGGCAATGTATCACTGGGGCTCACGCGGTCGAAGTCTCTGACGGTTGAGTATGCGATGACGAGTTGGAGCCTGAGTGCGCATTGCGTTGTGAATGGTACGTTTCAGTCCTGCTCTTCTGTGCTGTTTGCTTTTGCCGAAGAGGTCGCTTTTTCTCACGTAGGGGTAGATGGAGAACTTGCCCTCGATGATGATAACGACAACGCAGTGCGCTACCAATGGTTCTGGGCTGGCACGCAGGATGAATCGAGGAGGCTGTCGAGCGACCTCAGGCACGCGGTTAAGCGGCATGTTGTCGTGAAGCGAATTGTTTCTGAGGAGGCGGTCTGTCCACTCGAAGACAAACCAAAGAACAAAGCTAATAGCGAAGATGCAAGCGGCACGACAATGTCGAGGCCTGAAGATGATGATGAGGATGACGATGTTGAGGAGAATGAGGATGACGATGACGATTGCGATGATGAAGATGAAGAGGGGACAGACAACCAGGAAAGGAACGAACCTCACCCAACCCAAACAAAAGGGGCCTCCCCAGAAAACCCAAACCCCAAAAGAGAAGTCGAACATGAATCGAAACACAAGCTCATACATACCTGGAAATCTCTGCTCGAGTTCAATTTCTCCGTCCAGGTGCGTTGCTACCACGTCTTGGAGACCGAGGAATACCCCCACTAACGAAGTACATCCACAAAGATCCGAGTCAAAAAGCGTCTGAGTCGACTGCAAAGATTCGCTCTGTTTACCAGCAACGACGTCAGGGGCCGGTACCTCCGCCCGGTATATACGGAAAACTTCGGATTCGAAGCCCCGCCGCTGAAGGAGATGATTCCGAGCAGTGACACAGCTGATATCTCGACGCTGCTCAATCAGATTAAGAAGGACGTTCGTTCATACCCTGCCCTATTACCTTGCCAGTGAAAGCGAGCATCAGACAGGGCTAATTAACTGGATTTAGTACGAGGGAAAACTGGACGAACTTCCCGAAAAGGACTTTCTTGAACTGGCGAGCGCGCACGTGCAGCGAGAAGTGAGTGTTCTCCTTTCCAGTCTTTTCACGTCTGCCCCTATTCGTCTCGAGAGTAGATATCTAATGCTGCACAGACCATAAGGACGACTCAGTGGCACAGAACACGGAACCAGGAGACAAACCGGAAGGTAAACCGGAAGGTAAACCAGAAGGTTGATCTGAATAAGAAATTGGAGCGATTATTCGGGGCTGTGAATGGAGCGCAGAGTAGGCGTTATGTGATGCAGATGTAACAAATTTGATGATCCGAGCCGTGAAATTCCGGTTAGGATATGCCTAGCTGTGACATGAAATATGCCTTTGGGTTTCTTTGTCTGATTATCTTTATTACTACGCCCACATTGGTAATAATCCATGGCCTCGAATTAAGGGGCTTTTTCTCCTCCAGGTGGCGGATTTGTCTGCAATAGTCAACACAGGCGGTACATCTGCCCAGCCCTTAAGACAGATTGACAAGCTTTAGATCTAAATCAACGCCTCAGTTGCCAGACAGAATGACAAATCGCAAACACAAGGAAAGTGTAGAAGTAGGAGTCCTGGAACCACAGAATGTCATGCAAGCCTTGATTTGTCGGTTACAGAAGTGGAGAGTACAGGAATAACGCAAAACAAGTACACGTGTCACTCAATGCAGAGCGGATTCATTGGCGGTCAATATGTCATCATCATCTATCAAAACACATAACTAAGTATGACCTCTGTTGCTAAAGCAAGAAGACAAAACCCTGGGAATTCAAGTCTGTTATGAATCTATACGAGACCACGTGATCCTAGTGGCTTGGCCGGATCACCAACTCCTCTTCCCCTGAAGGCTTTACCTATTAGGAGTTGAGAAAGAGAAGTGAAGCGCTCAAGATAGTTGATATAGTCGTCCATAGAATTGAGTATCTATCGGAATGGCATCCGGTCCTCAGTAGGCTACGTACGTGTAGCTGATACAGCATCATTCTGCCCATCTTTCCCCTGAGATCACAACAACTGCTATCAATGGGAAGGTACGCGGGAGGAAATAAAATAACTGGTAATCCAACAGTACAGAAATGCATCCCAGGCTCTGGACAGCAAACCAAACTAGGGATTAGTAGACTCGCAAAAGAGAACAGAAATAATAGATAGACTCCAAATATGGACGTGGTCAATGCTATACTTCAATTTGTTAAGAAAACTGAAAGGCTTTACAAAGACAACTGAATCACCATCAGAGGAATAAAGGTCACGTGTACATAGCTGATTATGTCATGATAGGCTAGCTCAGAAGGCTACATGCGGCCTAAGGCCGCGCACAGCCCGAGGAATAATAATAATAATAATAATAAGGTGCGCCTAACAACAAAGCCCCGTTTTAATCCTTCATGGAGCCAAATACTACAGTTTATCCTTCCTCGCAACCCAGGACTTTCCTGCGCCATCCTAAACAGGTCCTGCTCTGAAAGACACCCATTAGCAGTTTCACCGATATATGTCACAGGCCCAGTTGTCGGGTAAAAGCACAAAGGCAACCTGCAGTGAGAGGGTAATGACACTAATTCTCCCACCCAGCTGCCGAGCAATCGAAGAAAGACAAGAAATCTCATGAATGTCTACATGCTGACAAGCCTGTGTGACCCCAGTGGTAGTGAGTCTGGTCTATAGTTTCAGACACTTAGCATTACAATAAATGCTGGCTCACTATTTCTCGACTGCTCTAGAAGGCCCATCGAAAGTCTCCATGGTAAGGACACTCCCTAGGCTGACAGCAGTCTCCTCAGAAGTCCGAAAGAAAGGAAACCTTGCAGATGTAGCACTATCGCTACCCATAAGAGGTTCACTTTCAATATCGATGAGTCCTGAAGCCATTGGAAGCACGGCCACACCCACTTCCTGCTCCCCATCGGTGGCAAAATGATTCAACATGCAGGAGCAGCGAGGACATAATGTGATATTCTTGGGCTGAGAAACACGGGCCAAGTACGCCTTGTATCTGTACGTAGCAGCCATTAAGACCGCAAGTGCATGGAACAGACTGTAATTTTACATTAGCTGCACTGAGGAGAATATAGCTTGTGGGGAGCTTACCTAGAGACAAGACAGGCTAGATTGCCATATACAAAAATCACGTGCTCTCTCACACCCTCAGAAATGATAATCATTGTGAGGTATACTACCGCGAGGTAGATTGCGAAGAAAAGATCGTTAATTATCGCACCAGCTGTAGCCTTAGATAACGCCGCATTTCCCCGGTACCAATAGAGCCATACAATAGCTGACAGGCCAGAACTGCTAAGCTACTTGGCAAATTTCAGGCGTCACTATCATTTTATAACAGGAAATAGGCACGTGAAAATGGCCATACTTACAGCTACTATCTGGTTGATCGACTCAGCTTGGGCATTTTCGGTAAAGATCCCAATGAGGTTGAAAGGGAAAGAGACGATGGCAATAAGAATTAAGGTCATTCGAATCTGCACAAAATAACTATGTGATGAATGTTGAACTTTCTCCATCATGACAGCCGGCTTCAAGCTGTATACCACTGGGAATGCGAGTATTCGGAAAGTGTTTTTGTTTCATGAATCAGGAAGCTTCGTTAGATCTTAAATTAATACTGTTGCCTGTTGGGTTACTGAGCTAGGACGATTGTACTATACTATATACGGAAGGGCTCGTTTAGGTGGGCCACCTAGTCTAGGCAGCAGAGCGAAGTGTATCATGCCTGCCAAGTAATCTGGCGGAGCACTACAGCGGGGCATCTCAACCAATAAGGATCCCTTGGAGGCAAGACCTTTAGAGGTGGTCGTGAATCTCTAAGCCGGTTTGTTGGGACGGTTCAGAGGTGATAATTCTATGGGTCATTTAGTTGGGCTACATGTTCACAAACCCTACTAACCTTCACCACAAATCTTTGTCTGACTAGGCCACTAGGCCGACTGGGAGACTCGTTCAAGGATCCTATCCTTAACTCTCTGGGCAAAAGGCCCGTAGTCCCTAGTCAATCCCTATGTGGGCTGAGACAATCTCTGAGCCGCTGGCTCAGTCTTTTGCCTGAGGTTTCGTGTTCTCCTTACCTTGTCCAGGTATCCTACAGTAATTCTTCCCTTTTCCACTGTTCTAATCATGCACAGGTCATGGAACAGCTGGTGTACCCTTCGGCGGACCATATTCGCAGTTGCCATTGGTGCTTGCGATGTTTTCATCTACCGTAGTTGATCACCTGATGCACGTCCCCACCTGGTGCACGAAAACCATTACTTTCACCGACATTTAACGTAGCTTTAAACAACCATATCTCA